AAAATTATTGATATTATAACTTTATCTTTCTAGCTGTTAAAAAATAATGTAACAGTAGTAGTATATACCTTATGCATTATTGCTAGATAAATAAGTTCAAAATTACTTAAGAAATTTGAAGCCAATTGTCTTCTTCCAAAAAGATATCAGTTCTTTATAGCTGCTGAATGCCATCCAAAGTACTTGTGCCAGCTGCCAAGAGTTACAACAGGAAGACCATAAAATGGGAAGACCTGGCATAAAAGGATAGCCAGAGAGTGAAAACACACAGAAGGGGAAAGGAAATAGCTGACATATTTTAAGATTCTTGATTTTAGGAAAAAAATCTAAATAAATTTAAAATAGTGTTTGTATTTCTGTGACATTGAAACAGGTTTAGCAGTTTAAGAGAAGTTAATCTGGAACTTCATCAATCCTATCCTTTTATGAGATTGTGAGTACATCAGACACTATGATCAGAGTCCTACTGATACATAAAACATAGATACAAATGTTATTTAAAAATACGAACTTCAAAGGGATTTCCACTAAAATGGAAGAGTTGACCTCAACGGCAGGTTATTTTTAAGTTAGCTATGGATTGTCTTCCTGTTATATTTCCATTTACAACTGTGCTTGGCTTTAAATGAGTTTGACTAAATATTTTTACATGATCAATCTTGTAATGAGTAAAAAATTAAAATTGTAAAATAAAATATAATTTTAAAAGGGTGAATAAGAATCCTTACACATTAACTAAAAACTCATGACTTCCTTCCACCTCACTTCTCCCACTATCCCCCATAGTGGGCTCCAGTTCAGTTCCTCAAATGAAATGCCCCAGGGTACCCTTGGTTCCTTGCGCTACCTCTTGCCTCATGTCCTAACCATTAGTAAATCCTGCTGTTTCCACCTTCAACTCCCGGCCCCCTCCGCCCAATATTATCAGCCCCTCTGGCCACTTCTCGTCATTCCCAAGGGCCCGCCTGACTCATGGCACCATCATCTTTCACCTGGATTCCTGGGAGACCCTGTCACCTTGGGTCCCCAGATGAAATGAAGGATTCTGTCCTGTGTCAGACAGGGCTTCCAGAGGAAAGCACCATTAGGAGATGGAAAGGGAATTTTTAAAAGGGAGGGAAGGAGGGAGGAAAGAAGGAAAGAAGGAAAGAAGGAAAGAA